AACTTACTCGGACCTTGCAGGGCCTAGAAAAATCAAAACGTGTAGATAAAACCCAAGTATTATCGATTGAGGCCATAACAATCAGGTTTTTTTATGCCTTCAAATTTTTTTTTTCTAATAAAAATACTACGTACCTCCTCAGTAATCCTCCGACCCTCTAAATTTTCGATGAACTTATTCTGACTTTGTAGGACCGAGAAAAATCAATAAAAGTAGGTCAAACACAAGTATTATCGATAAAGGCACAAAAAATCAGGTTTTTTAATGCCCTAAAATTTTTTTATGGTCTTTAAAAATTACAGGGTTCCTCATTGGTCATCACCTGTCACTCTGAATTTTTAGTGAACCTATTTTGACCTTGCGTAACCTTGAAATATTAAGAATAGTCTGTCAAACCGACAGATACTAGATTTAGGCTGAAAAAATCAGGTTTTTATTTGCCTTAAATATTTTTACCGTCTTATAAAATTACGGGGAACCTACTTAGTTATCCTCCGTCCCTCTCAATATTTATTAAACCTATTTTGAACTTGCGTGTCCTTGAAATATTAAAAAAAGATGTCAAACCGAAGGATAATGAATTTGGGGTCAAAAATTCAGGTTTCATCATGCGCTCAAATTCTTTTACGGCCTTATATTATCAGAGGGTAGCGCCTGAGTCATCTTCATTTCCTCTTAATTTTTATCGAGCATATTTTCACTTTGTATGACCTTGAAAAATGATTGAAACTAAGTCAAACCCACGGAAAATTGACTCAGGCCCAAAAAATCCGGTTTTGTTATGAACTTAAATTTTTTTATGGTCCTTGAAAATTAAAGGCTACCTTCTAAGACATTTACTGTCTCTCTGAATTTTCATATGACCTATTTTGACATCAGATAACCTTGCAAAATTAATGAAAGTAGGTCAAACTGGAGTAAAAATGATTTAGGCCCAAAAATTCAGGTTCTATCAAGCCCTTACATCATTTTTTGCTTTTATAAAATTAGAGGGTACCTCCTGAGTTAACTTCTGTCCCTCTCATTATTTACTAAACCTATTTTGACCTTGCACGAACTTCAATTATTAAGAAACGTATGTCAAAGCGAAGGATAATGGATTTAGGCCCATAAAATCAGGATTCTTGATGCCATAAAATTTTTTTATAGCCCTCAAAAATCACAGGGCACCTCCTGTGTAATCTTCCGCCCCTCTCAATATATAGTAAACCTATTTTGACCTTGAATGACCTTGAAAAAAATAAAAAGGTACGTCGAACTAACGGAAAATTGATTGAGGCCGAAAAAAATCAGGTTTTTTCATGCCCTTAAATTATTTTTCGGTTATAAAATTACAGGGTACATTCTTAGTTATCCCTTGTGCTTCTGATTATTTATTAAACCTATTTTGTCCTTGCATGACCTTGCATGTCCTGTAAATTTCAAGAAAAGTATGTAAAACCGAAGGATAATGGGTTTAGGTCCCAAAAATCAGGTTTTTTATGCCTTTTAGTATTTTTATGGTCTTATAAAATTACAGGGTATATTTTCAGTCGTTTTTCTTCACTTTTAATTTTCATTGAGCCTTTATTCGCCTTGTTTGATCTTGAAAAATCAATATAACTAGGTAAATTGCGAGTGAAATTCGTTTAGGCCGAAAACATCAGATTTTTTATGCCCTCAAATTTTTTTTTGGTCAAATAAAAATACAAGGTACCTCCTACGTAATTCTCCGACCCTCTAAATTTTTAATAAACTTATCCTGGACCTTAACCTTGTAGGACCTAGAACAATCAAAACAAGTAGGTCAAAAACAAGTATTATCGATTGAGGCCCTAAAAATCAGGTTTTTTTTGCGCTCAAATTTTTTTATCGTCTTATAAAATTACAGGGTACCTTCTGAGTTATCTTCCGTCCATCGTAATTCTTGATGAACCTATTCTGAGCTCGAATGACCTTGAAAAATAAATAAAAGTAGGTCTAACACAAGTATTATCGATTAAGGCTCACAAAATCAGGTTTCTTTATGCCCTCAAATATTTTTTTTGTCTAATAAAAATACAAGGTACCTCCTAAGTAATCCTCCGACCCTTTCAATCTTCGATGAACTTATTCTGACCTTGTAGGACCTAGAAAAATCAAAACATGTAGGTCAAACAGAAGTATTATCGATTGAGGCCCTAAAAATCAGGTTTCTTTATGCCCTTAAATTATTCTACAGTCTTATAAAATTACAGGGTATCTTTTAAGTTATCCACCGTTCCCTCATTATTTATTAAACCTATTTTGACCTTGCATGACCTTTAAATTTGAAGAAAAGTATGTCAAACCGAAGGCTAATGGGTTTAGGCCCTCAAAATCAGGTTTTTTATGCCGTTAAATATTTTTATGGTCATATAAAATTACAGAGTATCTTCTTAGTCGTTTTTCTCCTGTCTTAATTTTTATTGAGCCTACATTAATGTTGTTTGACCTTGAAATATCAATAAAACTATGTAAATTGCGAGTAAAATTGATTAAGGCTTAACATATCAGGTGTTTTATGCCCTCAAATTTATTTTTGGTCTAATAAAATTACAAGGTACCTCCTCAGTAATCGTCCGCCCCCCGAAATTTTCGATAAACTTATTCTGACCTTGTAGGACCTAGAAAAATAAAAACAAGTAGGTCAAACCCAAGTATTGTCGAGTGAGGCCCAAAAAATCAGTTTTTTTTATGCCCTTATATTTTTTTATCGTCTTATAAAATTGCCGGGTACCTTCTGAGTTATCTTCCTTCCATCGTAATTATTGATTAACCTATTCTGAGCTCGTATGACCCTCACAAATCAATAAAAGTACGTCTAACACAGGTATTATCGATTAAGGCTCAAAACATAAGGATTCTTTATGCCCTCAAATTTTTTTTTAGTCTAATAAAAGAACAAGGTTCATCCTAAGTAGATTTCCGACCCTCTATATTTCCAATGAACTTATCCTGACCTTGTAGGACCTAGAAAATTCAAAACAAGTAGGTCAACCACAAGTATTATCGATTGAGGCCAACAATATCAGGTTTTTTCATGCCCTTAAATTATTCTTTAGTTGTAAAAAGTTACAGGGTACCTCCTGAGTTATTCTGCGTCGCTCTCATTATTTATTATACCTATTTTGACCTTTTATACCTTGCATGACCTTGAAATTTTAAGAAAAGTATGTTAATCCAATGGATAATGAATTGAGGTTCAAAAAATCAGGTTTATTTATGCTCTTAAATTTTTATATGGCCTCATACAATTACAGGGTATCTCCTACGTCATATTCTCTCCCTCTTAATTTTTATTAATCCTATTTTTACCGTGTATGACCTTGAAAAAAATTTGAAAGTAGGTCAAATCCAAAGAAAATTGACTTAGGCTTAAAACATCAGGTTTTTAATGCCCTCAAATTCTTTTATGGCCTTGTTATGTACAAGGGCGTTTTTAGAGCGGTAGCGTAAACGGTGGAGGTTTGGACTAACAGTTTAAAGAGTACGCAACGGAGGTTTTAATTCCGTTGTTTAATTGTTTTTGTGGGACGTTTTCGATGTACGAATTTACCACGCCTTCGTTTGAGACTGTACACGGATTTTAATTAGGAGTAGATGTACTTACTACTTGCTGGATTAATGTTTAGGGTCGGATCCGTGATTCCGTGGCTGCTGTTAGCGCCTTCTCCTTGATTGGACCCTCTGTTGGTATTAGCAGTGGATGGATGTGGATGGATTGGGCTGCTTATCTTAAGGGCTTCTTATTTTTATAAAATGAATTTATTTAAAACAGATTTCACTTCTCAAGATTTATTTAATAAACACCAAAACTTCTACACTTTCACAATTTTTATTAAGTCGAAATTAATATTAATGAATTTTATTTATTTGAGCTAACGTCCTCCAGTCCCCCGTAGGGTAAAGTGCGCAAATTTAGCTTTAAAAGATGTTAAGTTATAAGGTATTATACTTATTGACCGAACTCTCGCCTAAGTGCAGAGCAAATTAGAACTTTGAGAATCCGGTTCTCTAGATTTTCTTACTTGTCAAAATCCCGCCTAAGTGCAGGGCAAATTAGAACTTTGAGAATCCCGACTCGTAGATAGCTACAACAAATACGTGGCCTGCCGGTCGAACCGTGTCTGAACTCGTCTTAAGTGCAGCGCAAATTAAGATAAGGGACTTTTACAAGGCACGGGCCTGTCAAGTTAAACGCGGAAGTCGAATTAACTAACAAAAGACATGGATTTGGCTGTTGATCGCCTTTTTAAAACTTCGCGGTGCTGAGATTGCAGAAGTCCCCGCTAGTCAACCAGCAGTCACGTAGCTCATATTTTATTGTGGCTTTCGCGCATGGAGAAGTCTTCCATCTGCGCGGGTGATTTAAATTAAAAAAAAAAAATGCGGGTGGACATAACATTCCCCCGGAAAAGCGAGAGGCTAGTATAGTCTTTCGGTTTTCCTATGGCCACCTTCACCATAAGCGAGAGCCACTTACAATCTTTAGATAAGATATTCTTAACATAATAATAAAAGAGTAATAAGGAAGGTCATCTGGCGCGAATATTTCATTTTAAATTATATGCTTTCTTTCGCATTGTATGATATGCTGACGGAGGTTTTATTGTCTTCGCTGCTTCTCGGGTTTGCGATGCCGTATTAAATGTCAGTGTTGCGTTAGTTGTGATTGAAGGTAGTTCGTTTATTGTGAGTATATTATCAAAATGTATGTTTTGAGGACCAATTTTAGAGGACGTCTCATCACGTCTCAAAATTACGAGGGCTATGGTACTTGGTACCAGATGGCCATCGCTCTTTTTGGGCAGAGGGTGAGTAAAAAAAAAAATATAAAAGAAATTTCTTTCTCTTTTCCTTTTTTCTAAAAAAAATTTATATTCTTGTATTTATTTCAGGATTTAAGGGAAGGGATCCGCCTCTTGAGGCGTTTGGCGCGTCCCATACAGATCGACGTGGCCTTCGAGCTTTTGTTCAGGTTTCGGGATCTGTTTGGCGGGATGCTTCCTCCAGAGGTGATGGGAGCGATTGTGACCTTCGCTTGCCTGGATGCCTGGCACCCGGCTAGTTTGGAGGAGTTCGTTTGTGCTCCCTTCAGCGAAGAGTTAGAACGGTTGGCGATGGCTCTCATGGAGGCCATCTTCAACGGTTTAATTACTGCAGCGTAAGGTGAGTTATTTCGAGATTTTCAAAAAAATTTCTAAAATATTATAAAAAAATTTTCCACTTCCTTACGTTTTATAACGTACCAGGATGTAATATGATATAATAGAATTTTATAATATTTGTGTGCGAAAAATTTTTTTTCAGACGGCGCATCGTATGACGCTGTTTTGCTGGTGATTGCCTGCTGACTCGGCTTAGGCGTCGTTCTTTTGGAATAAAAACTTTGAATAAAAAAAAATAAAAAAAATTTTTTTATAAAAATGAAAATTTCCTTGCAGATTTGTTTTTATATATATCCTCTCTCCTGTTTCCTTTGTTCAAAATAGGATTAGGGTAGTTTTATTTAGGGTAAGAAGGGTGATTTCAATTATAAGTTATAGGAAAGAAGAGGGAGGAGAAAAAAAAGGTAAGTTAGTAAAATTAAATAATTGGGTTATTATTTAATATATTAAATTATATATATAATTTTCTAAGTTAGTATATAATAAGTAGAGAGACCGAGAGGAAAGAAAGAAAGGAAAAGGGGAAGAGAAAAAAAAAAGGAATCTTGCGAATGTGTATGTGTATATGTATGTGTATGTAGTGGTAATTATAAGAAGCGGCATAACTATGGTTTACGTTGAGTTGAGGTCGGTAAGCGATCTCGTTTGGCTTAGTAGTTTCTTTTTTTTTTTTATTAACGCTAGATGACTCTCCTTGTTCTCTTACTTACTTTGCCCGTATTTATTAAGTATTGGTACTTAAACTACTTTGTTTAAATAAATTTTTTTCTATTTATTTTTACTGTTCGGAAAAAAAAATTTTATATGGTGACGTTAGCTCAAGGTATATTATTGATTATTATTTATGATTATTATTTATTAATTGAAATATAATTGAAATATTACTATTATACTTATATATGTATATAGAAAGGAAGGATTTTTTTTTTTTTATATTATAACTGTTTATACTTGGTTATA